TGGAATTTCCTTGTGGATTCCCATTCAAGTACTAACCAAGTCTAAATGTAGTTCATTTTCTGACATCAGCCGTGATATCTTTTAGGAACATGCTGGTCTGTGGCCAAAAGGAAGATTTGACTGGACTTGAGTAGGAACGAATTATGTTGTTCCGCAAACAGATCATCAAGGAGGTCCCTCTGTGGAAGCTGCCTGTTTATTCTTGCACTTTTTTGCATTTGCTATTTATCCTGTATCATAAGTCTCAAGTGAGCTAACTCTTGGTTTTCAATGACATGGACTTGTTATATCTTTTATACGCTTCCTGAAGGAACATGCTTTAACGCATGCTGTTGGGAGAATCGTGCTGGAGTTTCCAGTTCTGGTTTGTATGCACTTTTCTCTCTTTCCTCCCTGCCTGCGCAACTGCACATTAGTACATTGGACGTTGCCCCTCTTTCCCATTTTATCTCTCTCTCTCAGGGCATTGTGTTACATAAGCTGGATCGGAAATATTTGCCAAACAGCTGCAGCCTTCAGTTTGACCAGAAAGGCCCTATTTGGAGGCCCAGACCCCCCAAAATAGATTTGAATGTTTTGGTTTCTTGGTATTAAAATCCAAGAACTGGATCTCTGGCAGGCTACCATCTTGGCAGGAAAAGCAGCCATCATTTTGGCCTATGCAATCAATGAAATAAGTTGTAAAGAATGGATTGTATCGTTTGAGGTCACAAGCTGGTTCCCCCTTGCTTTAATGCCTCTCCCCCCCCACACACCCACATATACATTAGGAATAAAACTGCACCCTGGGAAAAAACAATAGCAACTGACAAGGGGTCAGAAGTTTTTCTTGCCATCTTTCCCTTGCATATAATAGATTGAGAAGCAGTATTAAGAAAGGGGGGGGGAGAAAGAGCAACAATTTGAAGTGATAGATATCCCCTCAGCTGTTTCAGTGCTCTGCGTCTGGAGACTTAGATTGTAGCAATTAAATAGAAATGCCAGCGTGGAGCTTGTATTCTAGCAGCGGCAACACGGCTTCAATTAAAAAATCAGCCTGTCAATTTAAAATGAGCCTCCTCCCCAGAATGGTTTTTAAAAAATTAAAATAAAATAAAAACCCCAAGATGGCTAGTTCAGTCACTAAAGGGGAACATGTTTGGATCTCTTGCTCGGTTTTACTTTGTGAAGAATAGTCCTATTTATTTATCTATCTATCTATCTATCCATCCATCCATCCATCCATCCATCCATCCTCACCGTGAGAAGAAATGCTTGATTTATTGATGACGCTTTGTCGCAAGGCGAGTGCCAGTCTTTATGGCACAGGGAAGCCAATGATTGGGATGCTGAAAGATCACCAGAAAAAGGGTGGCCTTTTTTTTTCCTTCCTGGTCCAGTTTTTCCCTCTTGGAGAGTTCGAAGGTGAAGATGGGATTGGGAGGCCTTCCCCAGAGAAACTCTTCTTATCTTAACCCCACACCACCACCAAGCCATAGTGAAATTGCACTGCTGAACGTCGAGGCATTTTGCCACCCAATTTGGGCAGTGGGAGTTGGGTGGTGGCACTGCAGATTGCTCAGCCTGTGAGATCTCCAACCCCAAACATCTGGAAAACACCAGTGATTTCACTGCACTTAGTTCACCATACCTACGACAGACCAGGTCAACCTAAAACCTGAATTCATTTCCTTCTCCTTCTCCTTCTCCTTCTCCTTCTCCTTCTCCTTCTCCTTCTCCTTCTCC